GCTTCTTCATCTACGTACGTAGCCGTTTGCATCCTTCGTTCGGCCTTTTTCCAATCCATCAGCAGCATTTGTGCTTGTAGATTTTCGGGCGTCAGCCTCGATCGTCGTGCGTCGAGCATATAACCTCCCTCGGTAAAGGCTTGTTCGACCGCAACTGTAGATGCTGGGACGGAGAAAATCTCTTTGGCCATCAAGCAAGGAATAGGATATATGGCTTGCATTCTCGACCACCGGTCCAAGACATCGAAATTGAGTGGCGAACTTGGTTCAGGAGCAATCGTAAGTATCAAATTCGACGTTAGGTAGTAATCAAGCTCATAGTATCCAGTTCCCTTTGCCCTTTCAACGTCAGCATTCTTGTAGGGATTTAATGATGCCCACCACTCCTTATAGTTCGAAGCGCCTACTTGACTACCGCCGTAAGAAGAAGACCCGCTGCTGCTGCCCCCGCCGCCACGAACAAATGTGCTGGGAGGTTCACCTTGTGCGATCGCTGTTTCCCTAAACATGTCATACAACAAATTTTTTTCTTGCTCGACGAGCAGCAGTACGTTAGGTTTTTTACTGTATGTCAGGACATCAGTGGGGATTGGGAGTTCATACATATAATTATAGTACATGTTAAGCTGCTCTACCAAGCGAGCTTCACGTACCGAAGGATCTAACAAACATGCAACTAAATGTGTATCAGGAATGAAATAATAATATTTTAACCATTTCTTTAACATTTCCTCAACTAAATAGCCATATTTATTAAAATTCAAGTCGTAAAGATCCTTGAAAGCCCACATTATGGCTATAACTTGACTTAACACAAGCTGAGCAGTAGGATAATAAACACCTGAAAGCATGTTAGTAGCATTTTGAAATGTTTCTAAAAATTGAATAAGTGCATTACAGTCTCCCAATTTCTTGTTGACACTCGGACATCACAGTCTTACGGTTTGAATGGTTAAAAAAATTCTGCAATTGTGTCATAAACAGAACCATGTCACTCAACATTTTAAATGTTGAGTTCCACCGGTTATGAACGTCGGGTTGAAATTTTTTAGGTTTCACCACTTGATCTTTACAAAATCGTCCCCATGCTTTCATTTCATGGGGACGTTTATGTAAATAATTAACAGCGTCCCTAATTGGCGTGACCGAATCTTTAAAAGCATGATAACCAGCTTGTACACAGAGATTTAAGACATGACATATACAACGAATATGAAAAAAATCTTTCGCCGCAAATTGGAGTGCAAATATCGGTAAGTTCACGTATAGATGCAGTATTTGCAGTAGCATTATCAAACGAAATGGAAAACACCTTTTACCTATTTGATATTTATCCAAAAATTTTTAAATTAAACGAGCAATATTAGAAGCAGTGTGTCGTTCATGAAATGCAACATAAGCAATTAAACGTTTTTGTAAACTCCAATTTTCATCCATCCAATGACAAGTAGTTCCCAAATAGAAATTATTTTGCCAATGATCAGACCAGATATCAACACAAATGGATACTCTATGATTTAAAGATTTAAAAGTTTCTTGCAAAATTACTTTTTTTCCACCACTATTTTTCGAATATCGCGAGTAAGAGTAGTACGTGGAACCTGGTGGGCAGCCGGATTCAAAGCCATTTGAGCAAAATGTTCATATAAATCACTATCACCAAAGCTAAACGGAAGAGATGAAGCATAAACAAATTTAGCAAAATGGCGTCGATGATTTTCATGCGAGTACTGAAATAAAGATGGCATACTTGTACCAATCGTGGCAGATGCAGCGCTACTACTCGGGAGTTGTGTCTGTGCCCTGTCAATTCCCAATTTTGTCGGATGATTCCTCTCTAAGTGTCGTTTCAACGATCCGTACCAGTCGCCTTTTTTGAAATGGTACTGCTTCTTCTCGTTTGTCGGGCAGTAGTTGCAAACAGCATAAAAGTGATTCTCACCTCTTGTCGGATTGGCCACCTTCGTGTAATGTTGTTTGAATATGGCAGATGTCGGTCTGCCACGGGCGAAGACAGAGGCCGGGTCCGGGACCTCCGGGTCCGGCTGTTGCTGCTACGTCGGTTGCTGAACCTCCTGCGGGGACTCTCCAAATATATCATCGAAATGATCGTGATACGGCTGTTGTTGCTCTTGTTGCTCAGGCTGAATTGAGCCAAACATGCGCTCAATCGTCGCCTCAACAATGTCATCGGCGACACCGGGAATATCCACATGTATCGATGGACTCGCAAATTCCAGCAATGGAGGTCTCGACGAAGACGGGCCGATGCCGATATTTCTACGTTTCTGTCCGAAATTCGAACCACGACCACCACGAGAGCTCGACATTTTATAATTTAAAGAATGAAAAATAAATTGGGGAAAATTATATAGAATATGATGAATAAAAAAAAATGGGGAGNAATTAAAAAGAGAAATAAATGAGTAGTATGCTAAACTATTATTCAAGGTTGTCAAAATCGGACCGGTCATCGTATCGGTCAAGCTACTGGTTCAATGGTTCACTGGTCCGACCAGTGGTTGAACCGGTTGTACCGTTTTTTAATTTATAGATATTTTTAAATATGTATATATATATATATATATATATATAAATATATATAATATTTCATAGATATAGTTATCTTAATTTTTAAGTTATTCAATTTAATGATATTTTAAATATATAATACTTTACAAATATTAAATATAGTTGACTTATTTTTTAAAAGGTTGGTCCCACCATAGATAGATTAAGCAATAAAATGATTTCCTCACTCTCCCACATTGGGCAATAAAATAATAGAAAATAAAGATGGGATATGGGAAAAGAAATTCCTTCCACACACAGGTAAAAGGGAAAAGAAATTTCTTCCACACGTGGCTTTAATCCTTTACCTTTACAATTAAAAATTTGGAATTCTTACATCTTGTCCAACATCGGTAACCATAAAAGGTTAGTTGCTATATAAAAGTGTTAGAATTCACACATAAAAATTATTTGACCCGATTGGCAAAGAAAAAAAAAAAAAAATTGACCGGTTGAACCAACCGGTTTTGGCCGGTTCGACCGGTCATTGACCGGTTTTGACCACAGCCGGTTTCTTCCATTGAACCGGACCGGTTAACTAGCCGGTTCCCGGTTCAACCGGTCGGACCGGCCGGTCCCGTCCGGTTTTGACAACTATGCTTAATTTAGTTTGCCCTTATATTTTATCAATTATCTTTGTATGTTCCATATTTTGTACCATAATTTCTTTCGAACTTTGTGGGGTGAAAAAGTTAACTTATTATTTCTCAGTGTGAAAAACTTATTTTGTCCTAAGAGTGGGTGAAAATAGTTATTTTCATCAGTCGTAAAACTCTTCATTCTAGCTAGCCATATCAGAACCCCATTTGTATATAGCAAGATAAAAAAATAAAATGATAAATAAAAAGTCAATATCGGATTGGAATTAATTTTTTAGGATTTATTAAAATAATCAATCCAAGAATTTACGATATGAACTGAAAGAGCCTTTGAGCTTCATAACTTGGTGATGGAGTATAATAATCTATTTGTTTTTCCAAAACAGAGTTTGAAAATTGTATGAGTAATAGAGTATAGTCTTAACTCTTGATTAAAGCTGGATATATGACAAACAATAGTAAGCAGACATGAATATGTGATATTGTTTAAAAGAAAAGATAGCCTCCATATACCACTGACAGAAAATATTCTCTTTTTTCCAATGATATTTTATGTCCAAAGTAGGCCACGCCATAAACTCCAATCCAGCCATTGGAAGTTTCTCTGCTTTGTTTTTTGAGACGTATTATTAATTTACGACTTACGACCATATTATTCGTATTCGTATTATTTAACTAGATTGCCGTTTCTTATTAATTTTATTATTTTAATTGTTGATAGTATGACGGTCCTCAGATCTCTTTCCATGTAACGGGATGTCACGTAACATGGATAATGTATAAGTTTGGCACTCTGAAAACAATGAATCCAAAATGCTGGAGTATCCAATTTGGCCCGCTTACGCCAGCCCGGGATTTGCATGGGCTGGGCTCGGGCTGGCATTGAAAATATTGGATCAAGAAAGTTTTGGGAAGGCCCGGCCCAACATTTCGACGACTTAACCACATTTAGCAACTTTCCTTTTAATCATGTACCAATGGTTGCTGTTTTCTTTCTAGATGTACATTGTATTTGGGTGTGTGAAATTAGTTCCTGTCCAGAGTCTTTAAAACAAACTGAAAAAAGAGAAAGAAGTACAGACAAGTGAGTATCATGCAGAAATTGGCACAGGTCCATAAAGTAATTAAAGGGAAGCTTAATTATAAGACTTGCATGGACTTTATGGATTGCCAAAGATCTGTATCTTAAAAAGAAGATTTGGACAAAGCCTTTAATAAAGGAAGAAAAAAAAGTCTTTGGTCTGAAGCTGCCAACTTGGAATACTGCCCCAGCCGAAAAGTATGTTGATAATGATGTGTGTATTTTACAAGTGTGACAATCATATTATGAAACTTTTCTTTATATGCCTAGTTTTATAGTTTCTTATTACTATTATTTGTAATTTATTCAATGTCCCAATAAGACATTAGGTCCAGGTCTGTAAAATCTCATAATGATTTGAATCTGGGCCATGAAAGTCCAGAAAACAAATATTTAGTAATCCCAACCTCCAAATGTCTGAACATATAATTCCTTAGTTCTTCATACCTACTTAAAGTCAGGGCCACCCTTTCAGAACCACAAGCCCGTGAAAACAAAACCACAAACCTTCTCATGTAAAAAAACACAAACACCACCATGGCAACAAAAGTTCATTCATACAACAACATACAACTAATGTACATTACAACATTCAATGACATACAACACCAACAGCCTATGTACATATTAGAACCTACAAGGCAATTGTCATAGAATTGAGCATTCCAA